AAGTCAATTTTCTTGAATGGTGTTTTGGAGGAAAAAATATTTATAGATTAGCTAGAAGGTTTTATTTTGAAGGGAAAAGAACATGTGATGTATCGTTTGAAAAAGGCTTTGTATGACTTGCAGCAAGCCCCGAGGGATTGAAATTTATGCATTGATAGACATTTTTGAGAAGAAGGGTTCACTAAATGCCCTTATGAACACGGTGTGTATATAAAGATAGACTCAAATAGCAATAGATTAATTATATGCTTTTATGTGGATGATTTTCTTATAACAGGTGATGATGAGCAGATGATTTCATATTTTAAATCAACTATGTTTAAAAATTTTGATATGACAGATGTTAGTCTTATGTCATTATTTTTGGGTGTAGAAGTGCATCAGAAAGATGATGACATTTGAACATGTCAAAAGAGGTATGCAAAAGAGTTGCTTGAGAAGTTCAGGATGAATCATTATAATAGTATGTCAACACCAATGCAAGTTGGAGTTCATTTCACAAAAGAAGGAGAAGGAAAAATTGATTGATTCAATATTGTATAAAAGTTTAATTGGGAGACTGAGATACTTGAAAGTGACAAGACCTAACATTGTGTATATATAGTGTGGGCATCTTGAGCAGATTCATGGAGAGTCTGAGAGAGTCTCATTGGCTTGCAGCAAAGAGGATTCTTAGATATATCAGTGGGACAATTGAGTTTGAAATTTATTATCAGTATAGTAGAGACATGAGGTTACTTGGATATTGTGACAGTGATTGAGAAAATGATCACGAGGAAAGAAAGAGCACAAGTGGATGTGTGTTTTATGATAGTGATACAGCCTTCACTTGGAGCACACAAAAGAAGAAAGTTGTATCCTTATCTACATGTGAGGCAGAGTACATAGCAGCGGCGGGAACGACTTGTGAAGCAATGTGGCTGAAGAATTTGTTGAAGGAATTTTATGGAGAGATTGATGAAGCTACAACAATTTATGTGGACAACAAGTTGGTGATCGCATTAGACAAAAATTTAGTACAACATGGTAGGAGTAAGCACATTGATGTGCGTTACCATTTTATTAGAGATGTAGTAAAGATGAGTCACATTAGCATGGATCACTGTAGTGCAGAAGATCAGGTAGCTGATTTGTTCACCAAAGTATTGCGGACACCGAGGTTTGTAAAGCTGATGAAGATGTTTGAGATGAAGAAAATCTTGGTTTGAGGGGGAGATTTTTGGAATTTTTCAAACCATGCGTCGCTTCAGTGCTTCCATTTATTTATTTTTAATTATAATTAGACAGTTTAAAAAACTGATTGGTTATTCTCTATGTTGGTTATCCTGTGAATAAGACATTTTTATGTGTGCTCTCTATTTTTGTTCTCTTGCCCGTGAAAGTCTAGTGAAAAACAGATTTTTTATTTTGTTTTGTTTGCTGTGTTCTGATTTTGCTTCAACCAATAATGACTTTTGAGTGAAATTTTGTCAGTAAGTGTGTTATGCTGATCTCATCAATTATAACATATTTTCTTTTTATAAAACTGTCTTTAACCTTTTTTTTGTTACAGATCTATGGTTTATGATTTTGATGATAGCAAATATTCCTTATTTCTCTATGATTGCCTTATGTGCTAACGTTTCAGGTCCACACGATCAGACTGCAATATGGAACCAGCTCAAGATTGGGTAGACTAGGTCTGTGTCAGTTTGTAATCTTTTTCCTTTCTTGAGTCTGTTGTATTTGGTGTGGCTATAACTTGGTAGAAATTCTCTTGCTCCCTATATGATTTCTGTTTTTGGTAACATCGGCTAGGACGATCGCAAGATCGGCCTGGACGATCTGTCCAAAATCAGAAACCCTAGTTAGGGCATCCTCATTAAGGCAGCCGTCAACAGATCGGCCTGGACGATACTTTCTCTCTTTAATTAGCTTGGGATTAAGTTCAAGAGGGCCTAACATCCCTAACAATCTATCATTTTTTTTTGGTAAAAAATTTACTGTGAAAAAGATTAGACCAATTCAAAATATTATAAATTCAAATCATGCAATGAAATACAAAAAAGGTGAATTAAACAAGCAATACTGGAAGTCTATTTGTTTAAAATAAAGTTTGAGAAGCTGTTTCTAAAAGTTATTTTGTGAAAAAGTTTCAGAATTTTATATCGTAAGTATTATTTATAAGACAACTCTTTCTGAAACAACTTAACTGATTAATCATATCTATTTGTTATGTAGTTTAGTTTGTGAAATAACTATTCTTATCAGGATTCTATCCGTTTGAGGAAGAAATTCTTCTTGATAGTTACTAGCACATTGTGTATCTTCTACTATATGACTTTTGTAAATTGTTAGATGAGGATAATAGAATTAGTGGATGGTAAACATGCATTCATGCGTTTCTGGCACGAATTTCTTATAATTGTCACCATGAGATTGCAGTGGACATTCAAATTTTGTTTTGTTTTATTTTTTTTTTTATTTTGGACAATTGTGGCGATTTTAATTGCCACAAACGCCCAAAATTGCGGCGATTAAACCCGCCACAATATGAAAATCAGTTTAAGTTTTGATATTTGTGGCGGTTTTAACCGACACAAATGTACAAAATTGTGGCGGAGAAAATCATGACAATACTGAAAATCAGTTTAGGTTTTGATTTTGGTGCGGCTATAACCGGCGCAAATTTGTAACTTAGCATCGGTTATAACCGTTGCTAATACTAGCATATCCTTTAATCTATTCCACCGGTTTAAAAACTATTACAGAATATCATTGCAGCATATCACAATCACAGCGGGGGTGCATCGGTTAGAACCACTGCAAAATAAAATGTGACGATTATAACCGTCAAGAAAAGTAAAAAATTGTGTTGCGATAACCCTATTTTTTCATATTGGATCTCCACCTTCAAATTCCATATTCATTATTTCAATATATAAAAAAAATGCAATTAAATTTATAAATTTGAAACTTGAGTCTAATGATTTAATTTTTCATTTACTTTAAGGTAATGAAAGGTATTTAAATAAAAACGAAAGGTTATGATTGAAATCATGAGAATAGATTAAATAAGATTAAAGGCTAAAATTTAAAATGAGAAAAAAAAATAATGAATTAAATTGAGAGGATTATAAAAAAAAATATTGCATGATAAATAATAATTTCTCATAGAACTTTACTTTGACTTGGTAACTAAAAAGAAAAAGAAAAATTTCAAGTAAAATTGAGGATAACCTCTTAAGCCTAACCATGAATCTAATGTTTCATTCGTTCCTATATTTCTCATAGTAATGAAGTTTTTAAAATCATCAATAATTTTTTTGAAATCTTTCTTTAAAAAAATTACATGGTTTGCCATCCTGAAGGGCTCCACCACCATTTGCTTCAAAACATTTATCTCTACCCATAAATCTATCCATCAAAAGATATATATGCATACATCATTGATCTATAATGAACCCAAGTGATTAAAAGTCTATACTATTTAATTGTAAAATAATAAAATGAGAATAAAAAATAAAATGATTATGAAAGATTAAATAAAAAATAAAAATAAAAAATTAAACAAAGAAATCAAAAAATATTGAATTTTTTTTTTGGTAAATAGCTTGTTTTCCAGAGTATAGTATATGTAGGCATTTTTGAAGATTTCTAAAGACAATATATATAACTATAAAAGAGGAGTTAAGATAATATTATTCTATGGACACTACTCAAAATCTAAATTAATTTCTTAAATTGTTTTTAATAAAATGATCATATCATTCAAATTATATATTTAATGTTTCAATAGATAAAAAAGGCCCGTGGGAGGGGCATGCGTGGTAGGTGAAGATGCTGGTGGTTGCCTTCTTGGTTTACTTGTTGGTTGGCTTTAGGCTTGGCAGTCCCTGTTTTATTTTTTTGGTTGTTTTGATGGACCTTTTGGTGTTGGTTTTTGCCTATCTATGTTTTATCTTGCTAGCAGATACTTGTGGTTGTTTTTTTGGAGCTCTTTGATTTAAATTTTCTGTTAGCCGGAAAATGATGTGGCAGGGGCTCGCTTCTCCGTCAGCTTGGCTTGTGGCAACCTTTGGTGTAGATCTCTTGCTCGGATTGGTTGGCTGCTGCGCTAGCTTCTATTCACCAAATTTGTCAGTCTGAGCTTGGCTTATGAGAAGCTGGTAGTCTAAGCCAATTACTGAGCCCTCGGGATTGATTTTAACATTTATTTTCTTTTGCTTCTTTGCTCTTGTACTGGTTCTTTTATTTTTAATATAAGTTTTGTTTTGAAAAAAAAAATGTTTCAATAGATAAATGAATGAAATTGAATTCTAGTTAAATGTATATATAAATTTTATTTTAATATTTGAAAATAATGGAGTTTTTTTAAAATTAATGAATTTGATGAATCCTTAACTTTTAAATTTATGAAGTCAAATGGTTTAATAACTCATTTAAATTAAATTAATAAAATATTTGAATAAAAATGAAAGGCTGAGATTGAAATTATCGTTATTGATAATTTTATCTATGGAAAGACATACCTACATCATCGATATGTAAATAACTCAAAAGTTAGTGAAATTCAATGCTATATAAATCTTGAATGATTAGATGAAAATTAGGAAAAATAGAATAGTTATGAAAATTAAGTAAATAACTAAAAAAAAAATTGAGATAAAATTTTATTATGAATTGATTGATTTTATCATCTCAAATGATCTTATGAGTATATATAGACTTCATGGATTATCTATCTAATAGGATATTCAAGGATTAAACAAAATTTCCACTAAATATCAAAAGTAAAGTTTTTATAAAAATGTTTTAAGCCTTCGAATTTTCCAAGAGGATAACATGGATTGATTCCAGCTCTTTGAGAAACGCAAAATAATAAGGCTTTTTAAAAACTGTTCAGCAAAAAAAATGAAAGTTTTTAATAAGTGCAGCAAGCAAAAACATAATTTATTCAGAGAGGGGACAATTCACATAACACACGTATTTAAATATAGTCAAAGGATTTGGCTAACTGGTTGATCAGTTAAGACATATCGAATGACTAATTAACATGACACACACAAAAAGAGAAGGTTTACTTAAACTTAAGAACACATAAATAACTTATATAATTAACGATGGACAACTTAGGGAGAAGTAGGTGCATATGCAATGGGACTTGGGGCTATAGGGCCAACGAGGAAATCATAAATCTCGTATCTCATCACACAACTGGTATTGATCACATAGCAACCCAACCGGCTTTTGCAGGACCCAAATATAGTCTCTGATGCCTTCTCTAAGCATTGGCTGCATGCTGATTCTTGAAGGTCACGCGTGCATTGTGCCATTCCATAGATAGTCATGTTGCTCTTCAAAATATTTCTCTCACCTCGTCCAAATTTGTCATCCCTTGTTGCGGCCGCTACTTTCACCTCTCCCATTAGCCCCTCCACTGCTTGATTGAAGTCTGCAGGATCCGTTGTTATAGGAGATGAAGACCAACTATTGGTATAGCTCGTATCAGATTGTCCGAGGAAGTTTTTGGAATCGTAGTGAATAAAGCAATATTCGTACCAAATTCGTGCTTCAGCTGAAAATGGACATATTGTTCGGATCTTATCTGCCGCTTCTAAGATGCAAGGCAAGCATGTCTCACGGCTAATGTCCCCTCGACATCGAGTGAGACCGTAGATAATGTCCTGGCCTATGCCATAGGACGAGGTGGCATCA